AATTTAAAATATTTAATACTCTGTATAATTCAGTTCCCGTATAATAACCGACATGCAAACATTTTCATAGCTATATTAATTGAATATTCTATTTTTAAAACGTAATTACACGGGAACCTTATAAGTTATAATTAATACATACGAAATTAAACAAAGTCGAACTTACCACTATAGTCCCTGTAATATTGAACACTAGGCAGTTATCATTTTATTAAGTGAAGAAAAGTGTTTATAGATTAATTATTCGAATTGTGTAAAATTTTATAATAAAATTTTTGTATTTTCATTTACTTAAGAGTTTCCCATTTAATCGAGTTATAATTCTTTCATAGTAAAGTTGTTGCTACTCATTAATTTTGGCTGTGTGGGAGTTTGTGATAAAAAATTAGACTAGTTAACATATTAATTTTCACTTAGTATTAGTATCAAACAAGTCTCAATCATAATGATGTAATAAGAAAACAAGCAATATGATTCCAACAGATTATAGTACAGTACTATAATCATAACTATGTTTCAAAAAAATAAACAAGGTTATCTTTTTTTCGCTTTCTTCTTATTATTAGTCTTCCTTCGTTTCTTCAATGGTTCTTTTGTAAGCATAGGCGGCGGGAACAGTTGCAAAGGTTCAATTTCCTCTGGCGGTTCTGCCAGCGCCATACACGTCAGAGAATAATTCTCTGACTGGCAAGTTTCGAATACTCTGAATCCGGGGTCTATCAAATCCAAAACTTCGTACGGGATCTCGAAATAAATTTCGAATCCCAGTCTCATCGCTGTAAGAGCACGACATTAATAATGACGAAGAGGAATTGGTTTAAGAAATCCACGAAACAGGTTGCCTTTCACTTTATTTACGATGAGGACGTACCGATCGTATAGGCAGCGCCAGAAGTGAACTCTGCAACACAAGCGAACCTGATTTTCGTCGCTCGACTAACACAAGAACGCACTAACGCAGTACCAAGGCCTTTTCTTTGATGTTCGGATTTCACGCAGAGAACATCGATACATATAAGTTTCTCTGCGTTCAATGTTTCATAAAAGTGTGCCTCCTTGACGGCATAACGTTTCAATTTGGCGATTGTATAAATCGCATTTCCTTGAGTCGGCTGTTTAAAACGTATTTCAATATTAAAATGAAAAAAAATGATGTTATTTTTGTAGTAAATTATTTTTAATACGTTAACTGTTAGTAGCACCTTTTTAATGTGTAATTTAACTAAGTTGTAACGAAGGAAAATGGTAAGAGAGATAATTATTAATGATGTATCGTAGTTCTTACACTACACTATTATCTAGATACTACGGTATTGAATATTTTTATTCGACATCGATTTTCGTACTGTAATTGTTTTCAAGCAATTAGGAAGATTCTGTCATTGGTGACCATCTTTTGGCTGTGTCAATCAACTTATTAAAGATCATTTTGATAACTTATTTCTAAAGTTTTAACCCCTTATCATATGATTCCTTTTACACCTGTGATTAGCAGAACTATTTTATCGTTAATGATATAGTAGAAAAAGAAAAGAGTTTAATGCTTATTCTGTGTCTACGTTGATTATAAAGATTAAAAATTGATAATACACAAGTAATATTTTGTTTATACGAAAAATAAATAAATAACATTTAAGTTTGTCGAATTCGATTGAGAATTTTCATCACGAGTCTGACTCGATATTGTAGGAGAAAGCATTAAACTGAGGAATTTTATAAAACGTATGTTTCTGATTAAGAAGTAGTATAATCAATGGTTGCATTCTTACACTTATTTGAAGTTCCTTCTTATTCTTGTCAAAATATGATGCGATGAGAACGCCTACAATCTTTTCGCTTCCCTCTTGAAGAACACAGAAACTCAGCATCTCTTGGATTTTATCTAAAATAATATCCGTGCAAGTTCTGATCGATACAATATCATCGGACAAATGAATAGCTTTGCACAATGGTTCCGTTGAGCAGAAATGGTCCTGAAAAATTAAGTTAATATAAATGAAAATAGCATTATTGAATATACTAAAATAATCATTTTTATTTTTAAGTGATTACGAAAAATATTCTGTATCGCAATCCATGAAAATATTAAACATTAAATAGATAATAAACTATGGAAAAATATTTACTTACAAGAAATTGATACTACATATACTAAAAATAAATACTGTATCTTAAAATTTTGAAATTTCATTGCTACATCTTGAAAATTGTATTTATTACATTGATTATTTCACATGTCTTCTAAGACATTGCATTCATTTTATTTTAATTACTCTAAAATAATTGAAACCTTAACTAAAATGTCCAACTGTAATGATTCTCGATAGTAAATTATTTCTTTAGAGGACATTGTTTGAATAACCAAATTAAAGCCTAGCGTTAATTAAGTGTTTGTTTGAATTACATATATATAAATTGTACTTCGAGCAATGTACTAGGACAAAGCGGACGGTTTGCATAAATTTATCTAAATGAAGGTCCATGATTCTATAACCGCTCGATTTCCTTTCCCACATTATAGCTGCTTCCACTGACTTTGTATTTCTCTGTGGCAGTTTTTGCTTGCTTACTACGATGAGTTCATGTGCGTTAATAAGGTTGTTTTTCTTCATTATACTAACTTTACGAGACAAATACATCTTTTGTAAAGTGTAAAATATATAGATAGAAAGAATTCTTTGATATTTTGTCGTACACTTGATATTTTGTATTATTGCAAATTAGGTTAATAATTTTGAAGAGCTCGAATCTTATGAATTATCATTTCAGCGATATATTCACGCGCTTTCACACCTTTGTTTTTAGCTTAACGTTGCAACGACGGATATCGAATGAATCTTGAAAAATAATGAAATTGTTAAATATTTATTAAATTTACATTATGGCTGTTTTTATTTGTAGAAAGAATTAATTCAGTTTCATAGCCAGGCATATATTTAAAATCAATTTTTTTAAAATGACTATAATGTTTGTAATATCTTATACAGTTTACTTGGTTAATTAAAACTTAATTAGAGAATTAATTGCCTTATGAATTGAGTTCGTTTAATGATTAGGCTAGTTATAATTTAGAAAAAATATTACATCTTCTAGCAAATGTTCCACGTTTTCGTATTATTTTTAATTTTTATTTTAGAATGATTTACGTCATTTCAGGAATATTATCGAACCTCAAGTTTATATTTATATTTTTATGAATATATAATGTTTCATTAATTCAACGTTTCATAATGAATGATCGACCTAATAATCTGATATTTATGAAACTACCCATAAATAAATAATTTTATATAGAAGGTTTACATAAATAATTTTATCTAGAAGGAAAATAATCTAAATTTGAGTCGTGCATCTATTTTTCCTGAAAAGTTTAACGTAGATAAATAATTTTAGATAGAAGGAAGAAAGTAATCTAAAATTGAGTCATGTATTTATCTTTCCTGAAATGTTTGACATAGACAAATAGTTATAAATAGAAGAAAGAAACTAATCTAAAGTCAGATCATGTATTTATTTTTCCTCAAAAGTTTGAAAATAACCAGCAATCCATCGAGATCTTCAACTGTAAAGTCATTTCACATCAAATTAAACAATTGAGCTACAAACCAAAATATTTTAAAACCACATTCAGTGTCTGTTTTGAACATTATAAACCAAAATTCATTTAAAACACAATACGATATCTACATTATTCGTACCATTAAAAACAATATAATAGAATATTAATTTTGCACACCAGCGATAAAATGGATATCCTTGACGATAAAGAAGAGTACTCCTTGCAAATAGAAACACGGATGAAAGCTCCCTTAGTGTGGGACTCACCAGCTAATTGCACGATACAAGATTTAAAGGAGCCTCAATACGACGAGGCTTTGCGTCTGATCAAAGTTTAGCCATGAAAAAGAGCAGTGCATTAAACCGTACAATTCCTTGACGATTTTTTCACTGCGTTTGGCTTATCGGTTTTCATGGATCACAACACTTTTTCAACAACGGTTGAACATTGAGTGATCGGATCTATGGTTTTTGCAGCACCATTACTTTCGCGAGGAACCTATGTGCAAAGCATCCGCATTGCTACAAGAGCAATCATCCGTAAATGGGTACTTAGAACTTATAAGAACATGGACAAAGGATACAACGAGTGTTGTTGCTTGCAGCGTTAAATCTGGTCGCGTGATCGGTGTCGCCATTACAAGAATAGACAGCCTCCCTGAAAAAATGGACGTTTACAATCGTGTACAAGTACGTTCCCGATCAACATTGCAAAAGAACGGAATTATCATTTTATTGTTAATAAAAACTCAAGGAGGAAAGATCATTTAACGTTCTCTTTGTGTCTGGTCTCTTAATTTGTAGTGTTCGTATAATTTTTAAAATCTATTTATTAACTCTGAGTAAATATGACTTTATAAGTTTCTTGGCCCCTTTAAACACAAATTTTATTTATAATTTTTCTCGCTTAAGGTGTTCGAGTTAAATTATATTTTCTGAGTTTTTCTGCAAAAAAGTTAATAATTAAAATTGGTATAAAATATATCAACACAAAATATCCAAATTATTTTATTTTTCATGCATAGGTTTTCGCGAAAGGTAATTTTATAAAAAGTATTTATAAAAAGCAAATAAAATTTAAGAAAAAAACATCGTTAAATATGTTTAAATAAAAACATATACGTTAGTAATTTAATTTTCTTTACTAAAGATCAAAAATGTTAAGCCTACAATTTACATAGAAACCACTCATAAAACTTACATAAACACTTATTATTGTCAACATTTTGTTCACTCGAAAAGAATAAATTATGATACGTATTTTTTCAGATTCTGGAAGGAGTTCAACTAAAAAGTATCATGCACTTGATGAACACACTGATCTTACAAACGAACCCCTACGACAGATTTAAGCTCCACGAGTACTTTCGTATCTATCTTACCTGCGTGCACCCATCTTATCAAGTAAAAGGCATCGAAATCGCACTTCTAGATGCCTGTGTGCAAGTAGCAAAATCATTGAAATTTTCGGCGATCGGTGGCATCTTTACTTGCGGCGCCAGCCAAACGAAAGCACGAAGCATCGGCTTTGAACTTTTTTCGGAGATACGATATAACCGATGGGTCGTTGACGACCGTGTAGTTTTCGACGATCCAGGCAGGGGAAACCATTCAGCAGCTTTTATGGGTATGCTAATGTCATCTGAGGAAGAGCTGGACAATAATGAAACGCCTTTCATCGACGTGACACCAAAAAGTCAATCCGAGATATCTACTGAAATAAGTATAGCTTCGAGTTCTAAATATGTGACGTTGAAATCGGAAGAAAGTAAACACGTATTTTTATGAGTTTAAAATACATAAATAAACAATATCGTTAAGTATATAGTGGAAATTTGTTATTGATAAATTATGTAGTTATAGAGAAAATGTTTAGTATACAAGCTTTTATGCTCAGGTTTAATTTAGATTAATTTAATAAATAAAAACTTTATTTTTCAGAGGTTGGAGGAAACTTGTTTGATGAATAAAGTAATCATTTTATTCGCTAATAGACTAGTTAAAACAAATGATTAAATATGTGAAATAAGCGATTTTATTGAATCTAGAGAAGGTCTGGCAAGAGATTAGCCCACAGTAATTGCCGAGTTTTAAAAAATACTTATTTTATTGAATATCTTCAGAAGTATTGTTAGATAAAATATTAAAATTCAAAAAGTGTATTCCTTCAAACCAGAAATTAATTTTTATTAATAATTCTTTTAAAAAATTCATTTTTAAAAAGATTTATTAAAAATGAATGCATTTGAATAATGTTCCCATAGATTCATGATACATTGTCATGAATTTTTATATTTATAATTTACTCGTATTTAGTACGTAGTAAAATTCCTAATACGTTTCCAAGGAAATATTATATTTTAAATATTTTATGGAATTAAAATACACCATTTGGCGTTTACACATCAAAGAATTAAAATAAAATCCACAAAATATTCATGAATTTTAAGATTGTTGTATTTCAATCACTATGTAATTGTAAGAGTTCTGTTACTGTCTGAATTATTTGCAACATTTTTTTGTTATTGTCTTTATCACGTTTCAGCCGTGACATATTAAGTATACATTGCGGACATGCATTTCACGGTCAGCGTAATAACAACTCCTTTCACAACTACCATTTAAGAATATTTCAAACTCTTCGACTTAAAGATATTGATTGTTCCGAGTAGTACAGAATGAATTATTTTACTTCGTAAATTTCTATTATTGTAAATTACGAGCTGGGTTACATGCTACTAGAACGGATTGAAACGAGTTTGAACAGACCGGAAGGTATTTGAACAGTTTGAATCTAGCTGGAGGGAATTAGAGCGGACTGAAATGAATTGGAAAGTAAAATATTCAATGAAGTATATATAGAAGTTCATTACGTAAGATTTTATTATATCAACTATCATTCTACATACTTACAACATGTACATATACATCTGCATATGCATATGCATGTGCATGTGCATATGCATGTGCATGTGCAGAATATTCCGGTTGAAAATAAAAGGTTTTTATACAATCCATGGAATTTTTCCATTACGTTCGTTACGCGATCATTTATCGAAAAATATACGGATACGAAGTATTAAAATGTTTAAACTTCCGTGTAACATAATTCACGAACAAAATTCATTTTATTTTTTAACACTTACGTATTCTTATTATTTATATATAGGTTTTCGTATTTCTTCTAATACTTTATAAATAGATTCCATTTCTATTTGTATTCAAAGTAAGTTTGGATATGTCCCTGTACAATATATTCCATTAAAAGTAAATTAAAGTGTTCAGATATTTTGTTCTTTAATTAATTTAATTAATGCATTGAATTCAATGAAATATACTTTAATTAAGATTTAATGTATCTTGATATAATTTTTGTAAATCTTCTTTCGACAGATGATCCCACATATGATTCATTTCATCCTCTGTTGGTAAAATATCTTCCACTAAGTTTTTATAATTCTCAAACGTACAAAGTTCATCACCGTCATTAAATTTGTAAGGTATCAATTCCTCTGTGACTCCGGTCCATAGGAACATCTGAAAATAAATTAGATGTATAAATAATTATTTTTATCACGAAAGTCCAATATTTATAGACCGTACTTGAATCAAATGTTCATGAATGCTGTAAAAACTGTTAGATAAATGAATTCGTCAAGTATAAGTTAATTATTACATTTAAATATTATGTTTTAGTTATTGAATCTAAGTAAATTACCTTAACAAAGTGTTCGCCAGTTTCATTGCGTAATTTTTCAAATATAATCGCACATCCGTAATTTGGTAATACTGGTTCCGTGAAATTGTGAGCTCTTACGAATCCCGCGATATTCGTTTCATGTCCACTGTACAAATAGATTTTTCTTGGTCTGTCACGTTCTTCGTTCACTTTTATATTCTCGATGAATCTTTTAATTAGTGTACCGCCATTTAAGCGTCTCATTTCCGGTGTGTAAGAACGAGTTTCATATTCGAGTTTTACAATGTTTTGAAATTCTTTATAAATTTCATCGGTCAACCAGCTCGGCAATACAAGATTCATGTTTTTCTGTAATACTATTTCTATTTATATGATTTTCTTAATTATTATGATAAATTTTACACATATAAATGAAAGCATGAAGGTTATAAACAGAAGTTGTTCTGAACATTCAGTTATTGTAACTTTCAATAAGTAGCACTCATCTATATTTACTATTTAACAAATGACTATACCTGTGCGGCAAAACAATTATAAATTTCATACACTTGATGCGTTCGCGTTATATTCACACCAGTTTTCTCGCTTAAATATTTAAACAGATCTTTGTACATCGAAACTTTTTTAAGCATCTCCTCCGAATTCCGTACCTTTTTCAGCATTTGTAAATATCTGTAAGAAACTTCATCAATTTAAATTTACTTTACGCGGACTGTACACGATTATCCATTATCATGCAACGTTTTTTGTGGATGCTTTTATCGTTATTGACTGCTTTCGTATTCTTTTCGAGATAAAGAAAAATGAAGATTATCCAATAGAAACTTACATTGGAGAGAAATCTGGTTTCATCAGATTGTCTACTTTCTCCGGCATATAATTCGTTGGTATGGGCAGCCATTGCAACTTTTCGTTCCATGTCTGCTTCGAATTTGGGGGATAAAGCGCGGACAAAACTAACTGAAGAGACACCTTTGTTCGATCTATATCAGTGCTTTGAGCATACACGTCACTAGGATGATAAACATCTCCTAAAAATTTGTCGTATCGCTCTCTTAACATTTTTCCAATAAGATATTCTCTCATTTTTCCTTGCTACAATGTCAATTAGTCAATTTTCCTATATACTAAAATTTAACTTTTAATTTATTACTAATTACATTTGTCAACTGCCCGAGGTTCCACGGTTCGTAGGTCGATGCATTGTACGAATCGTTCGGCCACATTTCCCTTTCACGGGGTGTTCGTTCTCCATGTCTGAATAACTGAAAAAAAAGCAGATAATTCAATCGAAAAAAAATTATGATTCTTCTTGTTGATTGATTTGAAAATGCATTTTAATGAATTACATATGACGTGCGCAAAGAATGACAAAAGATTGAAGATTATTATATCTACTAAGAATAAAAGAGGCTCCACTAGTTATTGTACATTAACAGATAAAATACTGATCTTTTTCCTAATTTAAACAACACATTTCTAACTAAATTAATTTATTCAGAATGAAGTCTTATTTACTCACCACTTGTACTAATTCCAACTGAAGTCTCGCTTTCGCTGAATACTGAAGTGAACCTAATACACAAGCACACAACGTTAAAATTAAGTTAAAACGAGACATATTTCGGAAAGAAAGTTCGAAATCATAAATGAACAATGTATGAATTGCGCTAGACGTGTTCCGCTGCTCAATTGAGACTGTGCGTATATTATTTTTCAGAGACGGAACACGAGAATGACGGCTGTCGTGACCTATCAATAGCAGCTACCATTTGTACAGATTGTGAGATTAAAGTCAGGAATATTATACGAACGTTTTACAGGCGGCCCGTTATATGTTGCGTTTCCTCCGATAAAGCAAGAACTGTTGATTTCAACACAACTGGTTAGATAAGCGTGCACGCCGAAGATTTCGCTTCTCCCGCTTCTTTTAATATTAGCGAAGCATCTATTTTTACAATAAACTACGTAATTCCGATTTAATATGACGTGTAATACGCAACGTGAAACGCTCGTAAAATGTCCATCCAATCAAGATTTCAGTACAGCAAAAAACAGTGGTGCTTTGTTCTTAATTTATATATGGTCACAGATCGCAGCATTATCGATGAATTAAGTTACAATAATGATTAAAGATATTATTAATTATCGCATTTACAATTTAATCATTGTGAAATGATAGATACAATTTTAAAGTACCTACGAATCAACGTGTTCATTGAAAGTGCTCTCCTAGTCCCTATGATAATAGACAAATTCAAATAAATTCGCGGGTTAACTAAGCTGCGTCGCATATGTTGAATGAAACACGGTATGAATACGTGTATCGTGCAATGTCGGCAGCACCACCTAGAATTTATATTCGAACGACAGAAAGACAATTACATAATCAAATACAAATGCGTGATAACCAAATGTTACCGTGGAACTGAGGGAAACGTTTTCTCTGGATATTCCGCAGAACACACTTATATACATATACTACGTACTCATATCGTTTCTGAACTTTATTTTCAGATGTATTCTTTATTATTCCTTCATAGACGAGGCACAAGTCCGAATTGCTCAGAAATTAGTGAACCACGTTGACACAAGCAATAATCTGCAATTAGACTAATATCGCTCGACCCTTGTCAATATATGTAAAGTCACGTAATCGACACATGAACAAGGCAAGCATATAAACGTTCGCGCGAATAGTTGAAACCCATTATTTAAACAGAATTTGAGGGAATTCTGCACCTATCTAAATATATTACGAATACTGCGTGTAATTACGTAATATTGAACATTTAAGCATTGTGACCTATTTCGTAAGGAAAATGCATTTCATTGCATTTACTGTTCTGTTTTCTTTAGAACAGGAATTACTCACATTAGGTCATTGAATTGATATGTTTTTTTAACGTTCAAGTCAACCGATGTGTTGCTTAACATCGATTGAGTTTGGTATTGAAATATGAATTTGTTTGAACTTTATTTTCATATGTATTGTATGTAATTGTTATAGTTAGAACAACGTTATTTGTTTAATACTATATTTTAAAATTACATTATACGTTTAGTTGTAAGCAAGTTTCTTTTACTTTTAATATATACGTAATCCTTTTTCTAGTATGTAATGTATTTCTTATATATACATAATTTATAAATACTTGTAATTTATAGATCTGTTATATCTAATGTCAAAGTAGTAACTATTCTTTATATTGGAGATATCAAAGTTTTATTTTTTTTCATAATATTTCACATTTGCATATTATTCTGTTTTCGCGCGATTTTTTAAACGTATAATAGTTACGTTTCGCTAGTATTGTCCTCTTCTGGCGATACCACGAATTGCTCCAGTTTAAACGCATTCTTAGATCAAGTCCTAGTTCAAATATCGTGTTGTAACGGTCCGCGGAGTTTTGCGCGTTGCAAATAAAGCTAAAAGCGAATAAAGTAATTTTGGAATTAATGAGGTTTAGAATCTATTAAATGTGGGTGTACGTATATCAGTACATGATATTAACTTCGCGATATTAGTGTAAATTCTTTTTTTTTCCTAAAAATGCAGAATAAAGGTAAGTCCCGTAAAAGTTCCGTTCATTTCACCATAATCATTTTGCACTCCATACACACAAATTTGAAATAGATGTAGATTTTAATTCTATCTTAAATGAAATTTTTAATTGAGATATGTAGTTATTTTGAACTAATAATTGTTTTACGTACTTTTATTTGAATTCCCAATTGGCAATGAAGTTGGAATGGGAAGTTTCAAAGGAAATACATTTATTTCCCATTGTTCTTAATCTTATGTTACTTCTATTATGAATGTATTTAACATGTTTATTGTTTATTTATCATTGGTACTATAAATGTATTTAACATATAATCAACGAAAAGTGATTTTGTAAGAATATTGGGCTTGTTAATTGAGATAGAGTATCTACGATGCCTAATACGATTTAGCGGGAAAATTTATATGGCGCGAACATTCAAATGAAGGAAATCGTGCATTATGGGATATAATATTAGAAAAACACAATTTCTATTAATTCGTTACTATAAACATGTTTACTCATTTATTTGTAATATAAATTATTCGAAGAAATAACAAACTACCGTATATATTACCCTATTTTTCCAATTATTTATGTTTTATATGTATAATTCTTTTTAATTTTTCTTATGATTTAAACGGATTATTACAAGTTTCTAAAATTTGTAAATTTAGCTGTGCTTATATTCATTATGTGTATAGATAGTTAATATTTTATAAAATTATTACAATTGAAATTAATCTTGGATATAAAATATTTTATTTCAGTAATAATATTTAAATGAAACTATCTTAACTTTTAGACATTGATTTGTGTTCTGGTATATTGATAATTAAAAAATTCTTTTGAATTTGAAAATATATACCACGACACATCAATAATTTTAATATCAAAATATTTATAATTTATATAAATATAATAATATCCGTGAGCACATTTTCACACTATCGTACTTACGAACCATAAAACACACCATGGGAAAATGTTCAGAACTGTGTTGTTGACGTTTTCTGTGTGCATACAATAGTGGAGATTGCGTTAAGAAAATTGATTAATTGTTTTAAATTAAACCGTTAATGTAACACTTTTTTATTTTCATAACGTGGCAAGCAGAAAATTATATTTTTCATTTTATATGCTTTCAGTACAAATATCTCTTACACACATTAATAATAAAAGACAAAAGAAAATTTTCTAACCTTTATTTCGATTTTAAATACGAATCGACATGGTATATTCAAAATACAGTATTAAAGATATGATAAAAAAGCATGTTTAAACAAGAGAAAAGATATTCACTCCATTGTACATAACCTTGCAAACTTATAAATGAGATTCTAAATACCAAGAATATAAAATAATGAGATAATAGTCTCAATTTTATTTTAATACAATTTACAGTTAGTAATTCTGTAAAAAAAATGTCTGTGAAAAGAAAACCTGATACGCAAGTACCAGCAGAAGAAAGTGACTTATTGTCAATCCGACCACTAGGCGCAGGACAAGAAGTAGGAAGATCATGTATTATGTTAGAATTTAAGGGAAAAAAGATTATGTTAGACTGTGGTATTCATCCTGGATTGTCTGGAATGGATGCATTACCATTTGTAGATTTAGTAGAAGCAGATGAAATTGATTTGTTATTAATTTCTCATTTTCATTTGGACCATTGCGGAGCTCTACCATGGTTTTTACAAAAAACAAGTTTTAAAGGAAGATGCTTTATGACACATGCAACCAAAGCTATTTATCGTTGGCTATTATCTGATTATATTAAAGTTAGTAATATTGCTACAGAACAAATGTTATATACAGAATCAGATCTAGAAACTAGTATGGACAAAATAGAAACAATTAATTTTCATGAAGAAAAGGATGTGTTCGGAATTAAATTTTGGGCCTATAATGCTGGACATGTATTAGGCGCAGCTATGTTCATGATTGAAATAGCAGGTGTTAAAATTTTATATACTGGAGATTTTAGTCGGCAAGAAGACAGACATTTAATGGCTGCTGAAATTCCAAATATTCATCCAGATGTCTTAATTACCGAATCTACTTATGGCACCCATATACATGAGAAAAGAGAAGATCGTGAAGGAAGATTTACAAATCTAGTTCACGAAATTGTCAATAGGGGTGGAAGATGCTTAATACCTGTGTTTGCATTAGGTAGAGCACAAGAACTGTTGCTTATTTTAGATGAATATTGGAGTCAACATCCTGAACTTCATGAAATCCCCATTTATTACGCATCTTCTTTAGCAAAAAAATGTATGGCTGTCTATCAAACTTATGTAAATGCAATGAATGACAAAATTAGAAGGCAAATAGCTATCAATAATCCTTTCGTGTTCAAACATATTTCTAATTTGAAAGGCATTGATCACTTTGAAGATATTGGTCCATGCGTGGTAATGGCATCTCCTGGTATGATGCAGAGTGGTTTGTCAAGGGAATTATTTGAATCCTGGTGTACAGATGCCAAAAATGGAGTTATAATAGCTGGTTATTGCGTAGAAGGAACATTAGCCAAGACTATTTTATCAGAACCAGAAGAAATTACCACCATGTCTGGACAGAAGTTACCACTGAAAATGTCCGTTGATTACATATCATTTTCAGCGCATACAGATTATCAACAGACTTCAGAATTTATACGTATACTAAAACCACCACATGTTGTGTTGGTACATGGAGAACAAAATGAAATGGGGAGATTAAAAGCTGCTTTGCAAAGAGAATACGAAGATGATCCTAATACAACAATGGAGATACATAATCCCAGAAATACAGTGGCTGTAGAGTTATACTTTAGAGGAGAAAAAACTGCTAAAGTAATGGGTACATTAGCTATGGAGACTCCAAAAACAGGACAAACATTATCTGGAGTATTAGTAAAAAGAAACTTCAATTACCATATGTTAGCACCTTGTGATTTATCAAAATATACAGATATGAGTATGAGTCAAGTTATTCAAAGGCAAAGTGTATACTTCTCTGCATCATTGCCAGTATTAAAACATCTTCTAATACAAATTGCTGGAAATTTAGAAGTGGTTGATGATAAAAAGTTACGTGTCTTTAAAAATGTTGATGTTACAATAGATGGAAAGATTGTTACTATGGAGTGGATTGCAACACCTGTAAATGACATGTATGCAGATTCTGTTTTGACTGCAATACTTCAAGCTGAGATGATGGAACAGCCACCAAAAGTACTACCTGCACCTACAAAAATGGATAGAATGCATTTTAAAGAGTGTTTAATAGAGATGCTACAGGAAATGTTTGGTGAAGATTCTGTTCCTAAAATTTTTAAAGGAGAAAAACTTTATGTAACGGTTGATGGGAAAAAGGCACACATAGATTTACTAAACTTAGAAGTAACTAGTAAAGAAGATGAAACTTTTCAACAAATAGTGCAAACAGCAGTTACAAAATTACATCAATCACTGGCTCCACCTTGCGATACAATTTAAAACATAAAGTTTTTACAATTATTTACAAAGTAATATGTTTGGTTATAAAATTACTATCATTACATTATTATATTTTAAGTAACTGTTTTTTCATTTACTGTATAATTTAATCGCTCAATAGAAATTACATTATTTGTGTATTTTTACAAATACAATAGTAACATTGATGTATAAACATACAAAAAATAAATACATATTTAAATATTTTTCATACAAATACGTTTGAATATGTGTTGCATACAATGATTTTTACCTCCACTAATTTATATAAACTTTTGCATAATAATGATTAAAAACGAAGTAAAATTATTCTAATATAAAAAAATTTGTACATTGAGATTTTTGTACTTAAAATAATTTTTGTTCGATTTTATAAAATACAATCAATAAATATATATTATTTGTACAATTTAATTATACAATTCATTGTTTGAGACTATAATGTAGAGAATAATTTAAGTATATAAAATTCATTTAAATTGTGAATATACGCAAAAACGCATAACATTAGAAATAACATTGAAATATGATTGATTAAAAAAGCTATGATTAAAAATACATATATATGTAAAATATTAAAGATTATACTCCGAAAGATCTCCCCATGCTGGACCAACTCTGAGTTTTACTGGTAATGGTACAGCAAGCTGACATACTTGTTCCATCGATTCTTTCACTATTGTTGCAACTTGTCGTATATCATTAATATTCACCTAAAAAGAAGAGATTTGAAAAGGTTTAGACACATTTTAAAACGTGACAAGTTCTTTTATCTGTATAATTTATATTTCATATTCTACAATGGTATGAATGCAATTTGATTTAAATTTTAATTAATGTCTACCTCATATAGCAATTCATCATGAAGTTGTAATACCAGATAACAACCTCTTTGTTGTGCATCCCTACTGTTACTTCTTAATTTACGCGTAGAGTGAACAGCAGGCATAATGGCTGTTGAAGTTGGAAATTCAAATCGTATTCTTTCTTCGATATCAATCATTGCTTTCTTCGCTATGTCTGCTGCTGAACCTTGAATTTTAGTATTCACTGCTTGACGTTCCGCTTGTGCTGTGTATATAGAAATCATAGTAATTCATTAATAGGCAGCAAAATAACTATTATCAAGAACATTATAAATAGTAGGATAAAATTATCTTTAATCAATAGATGAAAATTTACATTTTTCTGATGAATTTGTGCTCGATAGGCTAGGAAGCATTCTTCGCCTTTCTAAAATAGTCGTTACATATCCATTTACACGTGCTTCTTCTACCACATTGTTTAACCATTTCAATATACCTGGATATGCATTCATGAAAGATTCTAAAAATTCTTTTGCTTTGACTTCATCTACAGATAAACTTTCTGCAAGTGTTTTCACTCCCATACCATAGATCATTCCATAACATAACTGCTTTGTATGTTGTCGCATTTTATCATCAACCTATGAAGAAATTTGTTAAAATAAATAAAAATTATATCAGATATACAATTTTAATTTTAATATTTCACGCACTTGATCTTCAGATACATGGTTCCAAGTTGCTGCAATATTTCTAAAAATATCACCAGGTTTCTTTATAATGTCACATAATGTTACATCTTTGGAAAAATGGGCCAATATTCTTAGTTCGAGTTGACAATAGTCTGCTGACAGCATAATATTTCCTATAGCAGGAACAAATGCCATACGAACACTTATGACAAAACTTTTGTCCTCAGAATTAAAATCCTTCGGTACGTTTTGCAAATTTGGTTCGTGCATTGATACTCTACCAGTCAACGTGCATGTAACACAATTACCGTGAACTCGGGAACTGCACTGAGCCAGATTCAAAATTGGAAAAATAATCTATAGTACAAAAATAATTTAATATTTAAAATTTTTGTGTAATACATTTACGTCGGTTTAAGATTTTATTCATACATACTTTAGACTGAGTTGCATTCAATTTACGCCATGATATAACAAGATTGGCTATAGGATGATCGCACTGTTCTAATACAGCTTTATTAACACTAATTTTTTTTCCTTTATATAAACCTAAAACCTAAGTAATTAAAAATTCAATAAATAAATTCTGATAAATTAGGTAAATTGAATATATTTTAATAATATGTTCACAAACCTTGCTAACTTCTGTGGGGGAAGAGAAATTAAATTTCTTTCCAGACAACGCATATGCTCGTTCTTGCAAAGATATCATTTCTTGGTGAACAACAGAAGACAAATCTTGTAAAGACTTTAAAGATACACCTAAACCAGTTAATTCCATGGAAGCCAATAGAATTACTGCTTTCATTTCAATATCTAAAATAGCATGTAATAGTTCTATAATATAAGAAAAAGTAAAAATACTAAATTACGAATATATATCAATAATGATAAAATATAACGACAATTACCTTTAAATGTATATAATAATGTTGGACTCATTTTTTCTAATTTGTTTAAGAGAACATCTGTTATTTGCCACGTAAGTATAGTTTCCGCAGATGCTCTGAATTCTCCTGGTATTGAACTTTGGATGTCTAATCCAGGTCCTGTATCAAAACAAGTACCTATTCGTTTTGTTATGAAGCACCCTTGTGGAAAATATTCTTTTACCTATTTAAAGTATAAATACTTTTTAATATATATGACACATTTATTTAAAAAACTAATGTATAAATTTATTTCTATTGCAAATTTATATTGATTACCATTTCATTAAAATTTTGTTCACAAATTGTATTATCGTTTAACCAACTTGCTACTTTTGGGTCTAAAAATTTGCAGTTTGCAATAATACCACAACATTCATACAAAACTTTGTATGTGTCTTTGACTGCAAAACATTTTATATACAAATCTGTATTATTAAGCACATCTTTTAATAATTTCATTTGTTCCTTGCTTGGAACTTTTAAATCTGAAACATTATTTTAGTGATTTTTAGAGAACAAATTAATATAGATATAACTTTACATACCTTGCTCATTGCAAAAAGAAATATAGTATGCAATATTGCTTTCCCAAGAAATGGCGGCACCACACACTTTTCTATCATCGTGAACATAATTTTCTAATTTTTTAGATCTCTTTTTTCTATTAGTAGTAGTTGAACTAATAATTTTTGACCCAATAGTATTTATATCGTTTTTAAATAATTTACAATTTAAAGCTAAAGCAATATATCTTTTTTGCATTACTTCACGTTTAAATAAATTGAATGTTCCTCTATCACTTCCAATTTTTATAATGTTTAATGTTTTCCAATTGGTTTTTTCATTTGTATTACTTGTGGCTTTAGATTCTGAGCATGTTTCAATAACTTTCTGTGTTTTTTTCATAACAATCTTAGATTTTTGTAAGATTTTTGCAGATTTTATTGGAGTATCTTCATCTGAATTTGAAATTACACTATCAGTGCTATAATCTTTATGAACAAGTGCATTATATGCAAGTAGTTCTTTCAAAGTTGGTTTAATACTACACTTCTCGACTTGTATCGCATTTGAAACTGTATCAGAGTATTTTGTACCATTATCCAACACAGGACTAGATATTTTTTGTGTATTTGGTCTTTTCTTTTTTTCAGAGTCCAATTTACTTCTTATCTTAATGCTTGCAGCAGGTGAATGCATATTTTGAGAAGCAACTACAATATCGTCCGAATCTGATTTATTCGAATCTATTGATAATGCTCGCTTTTTACTAAACACAACTACATTTGCAATAGGTGATTTTTCTACAGATATATCCTTAAATATACGTTTTTGTAATATATTTTTCGAACTATCAAAAACGTCTGAAAATTTCGTATTACTCTTCTTCATTTCTGGCGTAGAATAACTTGTACCAGCACTTTCTTTAATATGTTGCATATCTGTATTGTTTATGTTCCTTATGCTACATTTAATTGATATATCTTTATTGCTTTTTTCATTCACGCGATTTAATTTGTCTGTTATTTTATTTGTTTCGTTCCAAGAATCATCTTCCCATGAAAGGGTACTTTGTTTTGTTCGTGAAATTAAAGGATTCATAGAATTTTTATTTATTGTTTTAACGTTTGTACCTTTATTAATTGGTGTCTCTGTGCAAAAGTTCTCAGTAGTTTGTAAATGTGGTTTTATTTTATTTTCCGTTAGTTGTTTGAATTCCAGCAGTCTAGTTTCTTCAAATTCTGAGAAATGTAAAGAGTCAATAATATTTTGCTCGAGAACATTACATATTTGCGTATCAAGATTTAAACTGTCGTCGAATAAACTAGGACTTCTTGAAACTCTTTGTTTAATGTTACCCTCAAAACTGGTTATTTGCATGTTTGTATTTATATCTATTTCATTTACAATTTTTGTTTTCTTTAATAACATATTATTTGAATTTTGTGGATTGTTTATATCGTTTATTGGATGTTTAATTGTACAGTTCTGTGTTCTATTTTTCTTATTTTCCTTAAAACTTAGTAAAGATTCACTATCTCTTTTCTTTTCAGAGTCACACGGCATTTTCGGGCTACTATCTTCAAAGAAATCAAAAGAAAGTTTTTCATTCGACAAATTTGAAACATTTGGAATATCTAATTGCAGTAATTGATCGGTAAGTTTTATGTCATCATTTTTGTTTTCTTGAACTACATTATTCTCTAGATGACATTCAATATTTTTAATATTTTCTGTGCTACCTAAATTAGTTTCAAATTGTTCATGGTCACATAATTTATTATTTAATAAGTCTTGTTGCTGATTAATAGAGTTAGCATTTATTGTATCAAATGAATTAAAATTTTGCATATTTTTTT